TCCTCAAAAGTAAAAGTTCGTTGTAGGGTGTACCATTCTCTTCAGCCATTGTAAACCTAGATCAAAAACATTAATTGCGTCTTGTGCTGTGACTTGTGGCGCAGTTGCAATCACGTCGTCTTTATTTTCTTGATTGTTTGTTGTATAATTAGAAACCTCTTTTATAATCTCTCCGTCAGACATTTTATGAAAAACATTTTCCTCTTTATCCATTCCACAGCACCAGATTTCCAAATCTTCCGGTCTTATCTGTGTTACGGTAGCGACTTGTACTATAACTTCCGAAGTAACACTGATTTGTGGAACGTTGCTAGGAGTGGTGACTATATCTGGCCATAACTTTAAAATAAAACCATTTAAACTCACTTACTTTAGATAATGAATTTAGCGATTAATGGGAGTCTATATTTATATATCCAAACAGCCACTAACATGTTTTACAGTTCGATCAGTATAATCCACTGTATCGTCTGAAAACTAGGCAATCGCCCCATAGCTTGGCAGGCATGTTTTGAAATAAGATCAAGCAAAATCAAAAGTGTACTGTCTTCAAAAATGGTGGTTGCTTTTCGTATTTAAATCTAGATCACATTTGAGGGTTAAAGATAAATTGTGCATATGGCATTCTGATATACTTTGTTTGATTATACAAATGTGTGGTAACCAACTTTTCGATGTTCTTACGTATTTTTCTAATGTAGGTCACGTTAACTGAGCCACTTATTATTATTGCATCTATATAATGTCCGCTTTGAGCTGTATCGTCTGCTTTTTTGGCTCTTATGGTCCCGATGTCCCCCACATAAAGCTGGGAATCCAAAATTGTCTCACTTTCCCAAAATGCTCACTCTTTAAGATCTACACGACTTTGATGGAAGGTTGTTCCTATTTTGATCTTCAAGCTCAACCTCCAAACGACCTAGAAGATCATTATATAGGTCGTACTTGTGCTATTTTGATGTCAACACTCTTGTCAGGGCCTTTTTCTAGAAAAAATGTGTGGTTACCGAATATTTAAAGTAATCGTATATTTGCAGATTACATATAACAAGAAATATACACACTTCCTGAAGCAATGTGCTCAGCCGTGATTCCTTAATCAGAACCCATACGCTTGACGCAGGGCTTTGCATGTAACTTTGGGCTGTTGGATTTGTGATTACCACTACTTGATACCACAACCTTGCCAGACCTTCGCCGTAACACAGGAGATGCACCGGTGTTTCCTCATGCTCTTGAACTGAATGCCATTATGGCTGCCTGGCTGACTGAGCAGATGGCGATCGACTGACTTACAGCCTCATTCCTTATTGGCTCTTTTCGCAGAATTGTATGGCTGTTACTTCAGTCTGAAGCTTCGTTTGGATATTTAGTTAACACGCAAATCATTGACCCGAAGGGTCTATGAGCTCTTGGGTCCGAAACGTCGTACAAGGAAGATGAACTTGCTGATGTGGTTTGATTAGGTCAGAAAAACATTCGGAATTAGTTATCACCTGTATTATAGTAGGGCCGTCTGGACTAGGCATTCCTGCTCCCAAAAAAGGATCGCATCTGTTACATTAGAAAAAGGACAGATAATCTATTATGGGGATTATCGACATGCATACCACATGATAAGTAACCTCATATAGCATGCTATCCATATTTCTTAATCCTTAAATTGTATTTTGTTAGCTCAGAATCATCCTGTATATGCATATAGCCTAAAGCTTTTAATATAGATCGAACGTTCTGTGCCGGCTGGCCTCAACAAGGGATCGTTATTTTCCAAAAACGATCCATTGTACTCCCTGCTCTATAACACAATGCATATCTGTGTGAACGTACCTTTAAACTATCTCGCTCTACGTTATTATGGCTGCATGTGAACAGTGGCGCATTAAAAATATATACTGGATATATGAAATCTGGATAGCATGCTATATGAAATAACATCTGTAACTTATCCTTTAGTTTCCATGTCGATAATCCCCCATAATATGTTATCTGTCGTTTTTTAATCCACCAGATTCGTCACCGACAGGACAAATGACAAGGTTCCCTTTGAATGTCAGAATATTACGTTTCAGATCCATAAACAATACATCTGCAACATTTTAGTCGAGTATTGGATAGCAATTAACCGATGTGTTACGAGTTCTAGGGTTTTGGGTGGGTTTTCGCGTTTTTTGAGGGCCTTTGGCGTCTTCAGGACGATGGACGAGGGTGACGAATCCGGTACATCAAAACAGCGACAGATAAGCTCATGCTCGCTTGTCGTTTTGCAGGCTGGACGCGCTTTTTTGGGAGAGGAAATGCTTACACAAGCGATAATGGGCTATGCATGTTTTGTGTGGCACCATCATAAAATTTGGGCCAGCTTAGTTATTACGGGAAAAGATAAACGAAGTGTCATCTGGGAGACAGAAAAGAAAGATATATTATCAAGTCATTGTAGTGACTGGAAACGCTTACAATAAAAGAGATTTTTTTTAACATATTTTATGTGATTGCGATTGGCTGGAGATATATTGCTATATGATGTTTCTAACTATGGAAGAACATAAACACAGGAGAAAAGCGGCCGATCCTCGGAAGTGAGTTAAGAAAATGAGAGAGGGACAGAGGAAGAAAGAGAGAGAGTTTTCTATCCAGTGCCAAAAAACCTGAAGGCCTAACCGGCGGATTCACCTATGAAATATACCGGGTGTAACATAAGTAACGGAAGGTACTTGCAGTTTTCCAGGTATAGTATTTTTTCAAAAGATCAAGGTCCGGCTTTGGTAACTTTGAACACGGAGTTTAAAGGCGACCTCGTACTTGACCTTGAGCCCAACTTCCAAGGTTATTTTCGTGTCAACTTTCAAATTTCACAACAGAATATGTATTATAATGCAAGATCAAGGTCAACTGTAAGGGTCAAATGTGTGACGCCAGAGAAAGTTCCAAGAAGCTTAGTAAGATTATTGGTGGAGGAAATTCTGCTTTAGTATTGATTCGGATGGTAACCTTCTTTTAACTGACAACCCCCTCTTTGACGGAAATGTAGAACCTTACATTCTAATACATTTTTATGTACTCTTATGACATTAAGGGTGAGGCTCAAGGTCAATATTGAAATCCTTGTTGTTTCTAATGATCTAGCTCTTATTGTTTCCGTTAACTTTACGAATTACTCGACTGTAGTCTTTTCAGACTTTTCAATTGCTGGTGTCAAAAAGGATGCTTTTCAATAGTTGACCTTTAAATAATCTTGATGGTGGGGATCAAGGTCAAATTCAAGGTCATCATTGAACGCCTTGCTCAAAGTTAGTGAGGACCAATCAATCATTTTCACAGTATTAGTTATTTCTGCTTAATTGTACTTGTTTACCGAGTGCGGAGAAGGATGTAGGAGTTGCTTTACGCATCAACTTCAAAATTTGGAATTGACTGTTTCCAAATATTGTTGACTAACGTTCATAGTCGAACTGAATCTATTTACATACTTTCCGTCTTTTTAATCATGAACAGCCCCTTACGACGTTGCATTCGTCGGTACGGTATAGAAACAGGCGGGTATGGTCTACTGGAAACCTCAGTATGTTTTCCGAAATATGGTTCACCAAAGCTTGACACGAACTTCGGTCCATACTTTGAAAATGACAGAAGACTCCTGCACCTCTGGGCTACGCCATCTCTACAAGACCAGTCCTGCACCGTACTGATGATTGCTAAAAAGCATGAAACAGCATTGTGTACGGATGATCATGGTTACAGAGATGGAAAGCAAACAGATTCGGCTTAGCCTGTCTGTCACCATTGCTAGTTCAGCTTATGACAGTTCTCCAACATAATTGGAAGCGGAAAGTAGAGAAATCTACATTGGAATTTGATGAAAATTTAGCCTCCTTAAGCTACACCGCCACTGAACGTATTCCCTGCGGGGGCCTACCGGCATTTATCATCCTGCAGATAAACCTATCTGTATAGGCTATTTGTCCTTTCATAATAGCAGACAGGACAAATTTAACCTCGACGCGTTTGGACGTGCGCGGTTAAACAATTTTATCTTCTGGATCAACGTCAGGGGTGATAATTCTGGATATCGGGACACGTTTTAGCTGACCGGCATTCTGATAGGGTCGAGCTAGACTGTTTCAATACATGGAACGTGTTACGGTAGACTTATTTAGTTTCCAATAATCGGATACGCAATTTACTGGATTTTGAATAACTTTGCCAACGAAAAAATGACGTCAAGTAGACTAACTCTGCACTTCCCACGCAAACGTAGTCATCAGCTCGTAGAAGGTTGTGTACCACACATCCCAAACCCCTCTAAGAAAAAGCATGTATTAAATAAAATTCAGTGGGCAAGTAGGGTATCAGGATTGTGGAAGCCCTTCCCAGTTACGCTAATCTTAGGCAGTTCAAAAATCGGATTAACAAAGTTTCATTAATCTCTTTGCAGCAGCAAGCTGTGGTATCCTGATATTCTGCCTGCGGGACAGCTTCGGTGTAAAAGAAAGGTTTCGGACAAAGTAAATAGAGTAGAGTGAATATTGAATTGACCCGTTAGCTTATTTTTTTACTTAGTGAACTCAAAATTGGTGTTTTTGTTGCGTATGAATTAACCTTCCAGTATTCGACGCGGGGAAAATCACGTAGGTAACCCGCGTGGGGTCCTGAGGTACCCAACCTGTTTTTGGTTTTTTTAATTTAAATAAAACAATGGAAGCTTTTCTTTGAAAAATATATTCACACAATTTTCTAAATGTTTTTATAACAGAACAAAAAATATTCACTTACGAAAGGAATGCTAACATAATTTATATAAAATCCTAACTAACAATCAAGTCTCTGAAGGTATAATATGGCAAAAGCATCTATTCGCTCACAATTGGTTTCTATTTCTCTGCTATCAAGGCAATTACGGGCATACGACATTTTGATGAATTTTACATATCCACTCAACACATTTTACGCATGTAATTGGCGTTTTTCTATCAGCTGATCTGGGACTAAATAGCACCTACCCTTTCCAAGTTTTTGTTTCTTTGTAGTAGCCTTGTCCTGTTGCTAGAGTAGTTTCCTCCAATGTTCAGTAGAGCGATAGCCCTTTTCTTTATATTTCTTGGGATATTATCCATATATATTCTTTCATTATTTGTGGCCGTACTAACTCTGCAGCTAACTTTTGCAGGATATGTTCTCTGTTTGGTTTTTCAAAATTATTGTTCATAGCAAATAGACAAAGTTGCGTTGATACCAGCAATATTTAGAATGTCAAAGAAAACTGTCAGAGGCCAACGTCGGCTATTCTAGCCACGTCATACTGGGCACAAAGTTTGTCTACGACATCCAGATTTAGTTCTGTTGTATTCCAGGATTATTTCAGGTTTCAAGCATTCCCTAAACCTCGTCATCGTGGTGCATTGATGAAATCAGCAATACATTTTTGCCTTTTTTGGAACGTAAGACAGCAAGGTAAGATCTGATTGAAAGGCAAAACTACTCTGTTCTGGTCTAGAAGCAGTCTGTGTGAATTCTAATGGAATCTCTCTTTATTTTTCCTGAGCGTACCAACCATAGTCAATTTATCTTTCAATAAGTCCCTAGCAAGAGGTACACTGGAAAACCAATTATCCATTGTAATGTTACGACCTGTACCTTTTAGAGGCTCAACTAACCTTTTACGACATCTCCAGGACTGTTACTCAAACCATACGGCCCGTTCGGTTGTTTACTGCATATATTTCTAACCTGTATGTATACATGGCTTTGACATCGACCAATGCAAATTTTGATTCCATATTTGCTGGGCTTATTAGGTATATATGCCTGAAGGCGCATCTTCCTCAAAAGGCAACCAGTTGTTCATCGATGG